TGGCCCGCGCAGCGCCCGGGCCGCGGCCACCGCCCCGGGCCCCGCCCCCGCCGGCCCGGCCGCCGGCCCCGCCCCTCGCTGGGCCCCGGGCTCGGCGCCGCGGAGCGGGAGGGGGCCGCGGCGGGGGTCGGTTCCTCCGGCCCCCCCCCCCGTGGGCGGCCGGACAGCGGAAGTGCGGGCTGGAGCTCGCTGGGCATTGTGGGAAGCCCCCTCCCCTGGGCTGGCGGGGGGCGGGGGCGGCGCGGCGTGGGGGTCTCCGAGCACCGGCGCGGATTCCCGCGGGGGCGCCGAGCGGCGGGCAGAACACCCCTACGCGAGATGAGGCTCGGGGCGAGGGCACCCCGACCCCTATCTCGGCTCCGCACCCGCTCTTGCCCACGCGCCCGTTCCTCGCGGGCGCGCGGGTCCCCGGGCCACGAGCCGTCCCCACCGCCGGATGCGCAGTCCCGCCGCGCGCGTCTCGCAAACTTCGAGACTTCCCCACCTGCTCAGCCGGCCGTGCGGACTCGCGCCGTGCGGCGGGAAAGCGCTGTCGCGGCTCTGCCGAGGCGCGGGGCCGAGGAGGGCCTGGGCGCTGCGCGCTGGCGCCGTCGGGGGACCTCGGCGCGCCCAGGGAGGGGAGCACCTCGGGGCGCGGGCCGCGCGTAACAGTGCCTGTCCCTGGGGCTTTGGTTTTGGCCAACTTAGGAGCGCTGGCGGCTCCGCGCGTGGGTTCTTCCCGCCGCGTCGTCTGTCCCGTGCGGGTGCGGCCCGGGCGAAGGGCCGGGAAACAAGCCGCCTGGGCCTTACCCCACACCCCTTTAAACGGTCTGGAACCGCGCTGCCCGGGATGGCCCCACCGCGTCCCCTCTCGCCCCCGCTGTCCTCCAGCCCTCGGGCTGGCTGAATGGGAAGCGTGGCCCCACATTCCTGGCTAGCCTGTGCGGGGCAAAGGCCACCTCGCTTCCTCTCGCGGGCGCGGCGGTGGGAAGGGAGGTGAGCCTGTGGCTGGCCAGGCGCGCAGAGGAGTGGAGCACGAGCAGGCTATCCAATGGCGAGGCCCCGAGGGCCGTCTGCGCCCTGCCTCCCTGCGGGCCCGGCCGAGCGCCGCGGAATTCCTCGGGAGGTGGGAGGCGGCGGACCATTATGGATACGCTCTCTCAGGATGTGTAAGGAGGCATTCACTGGGCTGCAGCGGGAGGGCAGGCCGCGGGGGAAATTCTCCTTGAGTGAACAAGGGCGAGCCACGGTCTGGCAGCCAGCGATGAAAGGCTCGGACACTCCCTCACTTCTAGCGGCGCCTGGAAATGGCTGTGCGGACACCCTCAACCCACTCCCTTCCCGCTGCCTGCTCGGACACCGCGGGCCCAGGAGCCCCCTCCCAAGCCTTTCTTTGGAGGACCCTCTCAGTCACACCCGCCGGTCTGGAACAAGAGGCCGCGCTTCCTCAGCCAGGAAGTGAAGGCTGGACACAGCCGCCCTAAGAACTGGCTGTCTCTAGGCCTCGGGGAGGGTCTGGCAGGTCGCCTGCCTCCTCCCTCTGAGGGGACAGAGGGCACTCTGCAGGAATCCCCCCACCTGCCTTCCTAAAACACCTTTGTTATGGCCCATGGTGGGAAAGAGGCCAGGGAGACTGGGGAGGGCCGCCAGACTCCTGATACCTCCCTCCCAGAGAGAGCCCCAGTCTCTCCTGAGCCGTCGCGGTCCCCTCAGACACCCTCCAAAAACAGCCTTGTAAGACGCCATATCCGCTGTCCGTGCAGGAGTGGAGTGCCGTGAAGCGCGTCTCAGTGCCACACAGCGGTGCTCAGTCACTGCTGAGCAGGCCTTTGTCTCACCAGAACCACAACCCATCTCAGCCTTGGTCTTTTGACCTTGATAGAAACGCTTGCTGCGTTCTGGAGTAAGTCTCTAGGGCCCTGGGACTCTCTGCCCTGTTCCCCTACCCAGCATCAAGGTACCTGACCCTGCGACCTTGCCAGTGATTGAGGGCTGAGATTCCCATCTTTTCTGCTCCAAGAACGGGCAGGGAGCCCGGTGATGAATCTGCTAACACCAAAAAGGCAGACCCAAGAACAGTCCTGAAGACCCCTGACCAAGCCACACCTGAAGCCCACCCTACCTCCAGACGGCTCTTGTTCTGTGAGCTAATAACCCTCCTTACTATTTAAAACAAAAAGAAACATGGGGCGCCTGGGTGGCTTAGTCAGTTAAGCGACTGCCTTCAGCTCAGGTCATGATCCTGGACTCCCAGGATCGAGTCCCGCATCGGGCTCCCTGCTCTGCAGAGACTGCTTCTCCCTCTGACCCTCCCCCCATCTCGTGCTCTCTCTCATTCTCTCTCTCTCAAATAAATAAATAAAATCATTTAAAAAAATAAAAGTTAAAAAAAAGAAAGAAAGAAAAGAACCAACAGCAGCAACTGTGGCCTCTCCACAGAGCCGGGAGGAAAAGGGAGACGAGGGGGCACCTGGGTGGCTCTGTCGTGGGGCGTCTGCCTTCCGCTCACGGGCAGGAGGCCTGCTTCTCCCTCTCCTGCTCCCTCTGCTGCACTCCCTCCCTCCCTGTGTCTCTCTCTGTCAAATAAATAAATAAAATCTTAAAAAGAAAAGAAAGAAAAAGAGATGAAGCAGCTGGATTCCCGGGAGCCCCTTCAGTGCATCGGCTCTGGGGGGACGGACGGGCGGCATGACCCCACTGTCATCAGTGCCCGGCACCGGCTAGGGTGCTGCCAGGATTGGACTCAGAGTGCACAGACGCCAGGCTGGGCTGCTCAGACCCCACTCTTGCCTGGGTGCCCTGGACATCCATGCAGACGGCACCTGCTGCCCCTCACCCCTGAGGCTTGCCACAGACCCTGGGATGTGTCTGCTACCTGACGATCAGCTGACCCTTCCCCATGTGTGAACATGTGGCCTCTGTGAGGGCAGCTCCCGGCCCAGGTGAGGACCAAGGCTCTGGCCTCGTCAGCATTCTGCGACCAGGGCGCCCAGTATCCAGGGTCATTGTCTGACAGGGTGCAGGGGATAGGGAGCCTTGAGCGGAAGGCTGTACCTGGAGAAGCTGCTGGGCAAGAGAAGTTAAGAAATGGGTGGTCCAGGCTCTGCACTGGCCAATGCATGTGGTCATGATGGAAACTCACCCCTAGCCACATGTGTGAGTCGTCTGCCAGGAGCCTGCTGGAGAGACACGTCAAGTCTCGTGACAGAGGGGGCCCGGGAAAGAATGAGCACCAGTGGGCCAGGGCTGGGGGGCTTAGGGGGCCAGAGGCTAGAAGTCGGTCAGCCCTCACAATACATGCCGCCCCCACCCCCCAGACCTTTGAAAGACAGCCTCAGTCTGGGAGCCGTGTGGCCAGCAGGGCCCCCGCAAGGTCCTGGCACTGCCCCCCGCTGCAGGTGCTCAGCCGGCCCCCTGCCTGTCCTCCACCCCCACTGTGTGGCTTCAGGAGGGCCGAGGAGCTGGAAGGGGACCCAGCCCCATGCCAGGTGCTCTGATGCCAAGAAGCAGGGACCTGCCTCCTGCAGGTTTGTTCATGTGAGGCGTGGCCTAGAAGGAGCTTTGGGAAAGACAGGAGGGACAGCAGTATCCTTTTGCATCTCCCTTCCCAGTATCCCCTGGGCGGCCCCCTTGCCAGGGCCTTCCGCACCACACCACCTGCCCCTGCCACCACCCCATCCTCCCCAAGCTGGGTTTTCGGAGCTGTCTTCACTGCAGTCACTAGTCGGGAGACCTTGTCTGTTTATTCCCCAACCAGTGGTGTTGCTCCACCGTCCCCATGGCAACAGCCCTGGGAGTCCTGCCCCCTCCCCTGGAACTGTCCAGAACCTGCCCCTGCCCTCCCCAAGCCCCCGCTGGAAGCCAGACAGGGAGGGAGTGAAGCAGAGGGCCGGGAGGGCCTGAGGATGCTAGGGCTGCGCTGCAGGACCCGCCCCCTACACGTCACCCCTGGTCCTGCGGGGCGGCGGGCGGGGTTGGGGGAGACAGGGAGCAGGCTCCAGGCTGCCGCCAGCACCACCCAGGCCAGCTCCCAGGCCTGGCTCAGCCTGTGTCTGCGGCCAGCTGGCCCTGCTCTCCTGCTGGGCCTCCCCAAGACCACCCTCCAGAGTCACCCGGGGCCAGGGGCTACCTGCCAACCCCATGGCTGCCCCACCCCAACTGTCCTCCAGGCCTGTGGCCCTGCCAAGCCCCAACTGCCACTCCAGCTGCCACCGCCAACTGCCGTCCCATCTCCATTCCAAGTGCTCACCCCCAACCGTCCTTCCAAAACTCCAAAACGCCACTGCCAGCTGCCAGCACCCTTCCTTCCCAAGCCCCAGCTCCCACCGCCACCCTCTGGTGGAAGACCCAGGGCTGTGCATTCCAGACCTTCCCTCCAGGACCAAGGCTGGGCCACACCTGCTGTGTTCCCTGGGCGGGGCTGGTGCCTGACAGCAGAGGCAGAGAGCCAGAGGAGCATCTGGGGGCCAAGGGCCTGGCCGACAGAGGGA